CGCCTGTGTTTGCCCTTTGGTTTTGCAGCTCCCATGGGGTGTTGGCAATGCCTCGGCCGTTCCTGAGCTAGAAAAGCTCTTTGTATTCAAGTGTTCCAAACCCGTTCTCTTCCCCAGGCTTACAACGCAAAAACCAAGAGCTTTGAAGATCCTCCCAACCACGCTCGGAGCTCTGGCAATAAAGGGAAGGGGAAGGGGAAAGGAAAGGGTAAGTCTGCTTGAGGGGAGAGGTCTCAGGTGGGTGAACCGGTTTGCATCGTCTGTTCCATGCTGCTGAGCAAAAACCTGCAGCCGAGCTAAAACCTGCTGCCGACCAGATGCTTCTCTGCTCTCCTCCTTGCTCTGATGCTCTGGCAGCGATGTGGTTTTAAGGCACCTAATCTCTTTGAAAAGAAAACCAAACAAAAAAAAACCCAAAACCTCGCAGCGACAGCACCTAGTCCTGCAGAGATCTCAAAGCCTTTCGCTTGCCAACCTGCTGCCAGGGGCTGGCTGCTCTGTAGAGAAGGACTCTGTACCTTGCTCCCAACATGAGGAGCTGCCCGCAAGGTCTCGCTGCGCCCCTCTGACCCCCAGAAACTCCGGTGTGCCTGTGGGCTGTTGGATGGAAGGGGATCGCATGGAGAGGGGGAAAAGACAGGAGGCTTCCCTTCCAAATGCAAGGGCGTATTCTGGCAGTGGCAGCGAAACAATTAAGGGGCAGAAAAGGTGCTTGAAGCTGATGTTTTAACTGCTGCGGAGGAGGGAGAGAAGAATTTGCCTTGTAAGCACTAAAAGGAGGAAATGACTTTGCCTTCTGATGTGAGCGGGGCTCTGTTTGCAGGCAAAGGCAAAGGGAAGTCATCGGTGAGCTGCGAGCAGAGCGAGCAGGAGCCGGCTGAGCTGAAGGTCCCCAAGCTGCGGACCCTGGATGTCTTCTCTGGCTGCGGAGGGTTGTCCGAGGGCTTCCACCAGGCAGGTGAGTGGCCGTGGGGTGACGGTGGAGCGGGGACAGTGCTGGGGGGACAGCGGAGCCCATGGGGGGACGGGCATCGGCACTGGCCGCTCGGTTCTCTGGAGCCGGCAGTTGTTGGGCACGTGCTGGGTCAGGGGCTGCCAGCGGGTGCTCCAGGCTCAGGATCCTTCGCGTTGTCTCCCCAGGTGTGTCGGAGACACTCTGGGCCATTGAGATGTGGGAACCGGCTGCCCAGGCCTTCCGGCTGAACAACCCCAGCACTACCGTCTTCACGGAGGATTGCAACATCCTGCTGAAGCTGGTCATGTCGGGTGAGAAGACCAACTCTCTGGGGCAGAAGCTGCCGCAGAAGGGGGACGTGGAGATGCTGTGCGGTGGTCCCCCGTGCCAGGGCTTCAGCGGCATGAACCGCTTCAACTCCCGCACCTACTCCAAGTTCAAGAACTCCCTGGTGGTCTCGTTCCTCAGGTGAGCAGGGGTGGGATGAGGAGCTGTGGTGGGATGCAGACTCCCACCTCAAACATTGCTCTGTCCTTGATCCCATGTCCCTCTCCCTCCTCGCAGCTACTGCGACTACTACAGACCGCGGTTCTTCCTTCTGGAGAATGTCAGGAACTTCGTGTCCTTCAAGCGTTCCATGGTGCTAAAACTCACCTTGCGCTGCCTTGTCCGCATGGGTTACCAGTGCACCTTTGGGGTCCTACAGGTAGGGCTTGGGTGACCCCGGGGTGGTTAACCAGGGTGAAAACCCTTCTCTCACCCAGCTCGTCTGTGGTCCGTCCCTCCGAAGGAGCACTTGGCTGCATTGCTCCTTGGCTTCCCTGGGTGGTTTGGGAGGATGTTCCCAGCTCTTCGAGGGCTCCAGCTCCTGCAGGAGTTGTCTCTTCCTTCCCAGGCTGGCCAGTACGGTGTGGCCCAGACGCGGCGGAGAGCCATCATCCTCGCCGCGGCTCCCGGCGAGAAGCTGCCCATGTTCCCCGAGCCTTTGCATGTGTTTGCACCCCGTGCCTGTCAGCTGAGCGTTGTGGTGGACGACAAGAAGTTTGTTAGCAATATCACCCGGTGAGCCTTTGGAGCCGTGCCGGCGCTGGCAAGGGCAAAGTCTTGGCTGCTCACGGCTCCCTCCTTCCCCCTCCCAGGACATATTCTGGCCCCTTCCGCACCATCACTGTGCGGGACACCATGTCCGACCTGCCGGAGATCAGGAACGGTGCCTCTGCCTTGGAGATCTCCTACAACGGCGAGCCCCAGTCCTGGTTCCAGCGGCAGATCCGGGGCTCTCAGTATCAGCCCATCCTCAGGGACCACATCTGCAAGGTGTGGATGCCGTGGTCTGGATTGGGGGGGCTGGGCTGCACTCCCACCCTGCAGACCCAAACCCTGATGGGGGTAGGGGTGGGTTGGGTCAGAGGTGGGGTGAGAGGGACCATCCCCAAGCCCTCCCTGGTTAACGTCCCCAAAGATGAGGCTGGTGGAGCTGTCAGGACCGGTCCCTCTCCCCCAGCCTTCCCCAGAGAGCGGACCGGGGCTCCTGGGGTGGCCGGTGTCCCTCTGTGTCCCTTGCCTTGCTGACGGTGTCAGCTGGCTCATCGTTGGCAGGACATGAGTGCCCTGGTCGCAGCCCGGATGAGACACATCCCCTTGGCCCCTGGTTCTGATTGGCGCGACCTGCCCAACATCGAGGTGCGGCTGTCGGACGGCACGACCACACGCAAGCTGCGGTACACGCACCACGAGAAGAAAAATGGCCGTAGCAGCTCCGGGGCGCTGCGGGGGGTCTGCTCCTGTGCCGAAGGTAGGTGCTGGCTTCCCAAAACCGGCCAGAGCTGCCTGCCTGTGCCCCCCACACTCACCTTCTTCTTTCCAGGCAAGCCTTGTGACCCTGCCGACCGGCAGTTCAACACCCTCATCCCCTGGTGCCTGCCCCATACCGGCAACCGGCACAACCACTGGGCTGGGCTCTATGGGCGCCTGGAGTGGGACGGCTTCTTCAGCACCACCGTCACCAACCCTGAGCCCATGGGCAAGCAGGTGGGTGGTGCCGGATCCCTCCTCTCCACCGGGAAAGGTGAGCGTTACCCGGTGGCCGCTGCAGTCCCAACCCTTGGCTTTATTTGCTGCCGTAGGGGCGGGTGCTGCACCCCGAGCAGCACCGGGTGGTGAGCGTGAGGGAGTGTGCCCGCTCCCAGGGCTTCCCCGATACCTACCGCCTCTTTGGGAACATCCTCGACAAGCACAGACAGGTGAGTGCCGGCCACTTGCCGGTGGCGAACCCCTCAGCAGCGCCATCCTCTCGCCGGCAGCATGGCAGAATCAGCACCCAGCGTAACCCTCCCTTTGTCGCAGGTCGGTAACGCAGTGCCTCCTCCTCTAGCCAAAGCCATCGGGCTAGAGATCAAGTCATGTGTGTTGGTGAAGCTGAGAGAAGACACGGCAGGTGGGTGCTGCGCCGGGAGCTGCTGCCGTCCCCTGCCTTGCGCTGCGGGCGGAGGGGCTCATGCACCCTCCCTGGCCTCTGCTCTCCTTGAGGGGGGTCCCGCTTCAGGGATGGGGGACCTGGGGGCCCATCCTGCCCCCTTGGCATTGGGGTACAGGGGTGTCATGCCCTCTCTCCACAGAGACCAGTGCCCTGGAGAAGATGGAGACCATGGAAACCGCCGGCTGACGCGCGGCCTCTCCTCTGGCACCAGGACTCCCAAACATGCACTGATTTATTTTAGCCTTTTTTTTTTAAAAAAAAAAAAAATCAGTTTTTTTTGTTTGGTTTTTTTGTTTGTTTGTTTCCTATTTTTGGGGTTTTTTTAATTCCCTGCCTCTGGGGACCCCCTGTGGCCTGTCCCCCCCCCGCTCATATCTGTCTCCCGGCTGCCCTCTGCCGCTGTCTGTGATGGTCAAACTCCACTACCGCCCCGGGACCCCGACCCAGCCCCGGCAGTGCCCTGTGGGACCCCCGGTCCTGGCCCTGCCCTTGGGCCCGCTCCCTGTTTTTATGCCGCATTGTATTGAAAATAATCGGCCGCTTTGTATAAGTGGGAATTGATACTTTATGTAGTTTTTATATGTTGTAATATTTCTCCAAATAAATTTCTCCTATAAATTATAACCCCCCCGCCTTCCTTTCGGTCCCTTTCTTTGGGCCT